AGAACTTAAAAATTTTAAATTGGACATTCACCTATTATGGTCCAATATCCAAAATCTAAATACATGGTTAGATTCAGCATATCAAAGAACCCCAAGAATTCAATTTTTGATGAAATCAAACAAAGTTTAATTTTGGACCCTTTTGACCTCAATGTGGACAAAGTTGATAACGGGGCCCAAAAATCAAAAATCTAAATACATGGTTAGATTCAGCATATCAAAGAACCCCATATATTCAATTTTTGTTGAAATCAAACAAAGTTTAATTTTGGACCCCGATTTGGACCAACTTGAAAACTGGGCCCATAATCAAAAATCTAAATACATGTTTAGATTCAGCATATCAAAGAACCCTAAGAATTCAATTTTTGTTAAAATCAAACTAAGTTTAATTTTGGACCCTTTGGACCTTAATGTAGACCAATTTGAAAACGGAACCAAAATTTAAGAATCTAAATACACAGTTAGATTCGGCATATCAAAGAACCCCAATAATTCAATTTTTGATGAAATCAAACAAAGTTTAATTTTGGACCCTTTGGACCTCAATGTGGACCAATTTAAAAACGGGGCCCAAAATCCAAAAACTAAATACACGGTTAGATTCAGCATATTAAAGAACCCCATGAAATCAAGAATAAAACCCCATTGAAATTGGTCAAGAAATAAGCAATTTATAGGAAGTATCTTCTTTTGCACAATCCTGTGCTATTAAATATTTCTTGCTATTGCGCAATACTGTACAATTGACAATTTCTTGCTATTGCGCAATATTGTGCTATTGGATATTTCTTGCTATTACGCAATACTGTGCAATTGAAGATTTCTTGCTATTGCGCAATACTGTGCAATTGAAGATTTCTTGCTATTGTGCAATACTGTGCAATTGAAAATTTCTTGCTATTGCACAATACTTATTATATAATAATTTACACATCCTGTTTGGTGTGTATCTCCTACCATATCATTATTATTTGATTTTAAATATAAATCAGAAATAACCAACTTAAAATGGAAAATTTTAAAAGAAACAAAAAAGGAAAAAAAGAAAAAAAAGGAAAAAAAAATAAATCCCCCCCCCAAATTTTTTGAACCCCCATTATGATTCATCACCCCCAAACTCAATCCCAGCCTTCCCTTTGTGGTATGGTACCTTGCAGTACAATTTCAGAGAGATCCATATACTTGAACACAAGTTATTGTCTGGAAACTAGAAAAAAATGTGTTTTTTGGCCCCTTTTTGGCCCCAAATTCCTAAACGTTTAGGGCAATTACCCCCAAACTCAAACCCAGCTTTCCCTTTGTGATATGGAACCTTGTAGTACAATTTCAGAAAGATCCATACACTTACACACAAGTTATTGTCATGAAACTAGAAAAATGCTTGTTTTTTGCCCCTTTTTTGGCCCCTAATTCCTAAAATTTGGAGGCAATTACCCCCAAAATCAATCCCAGCATTCCTTTAGTGATATGGAACCTTGTGGTACAATGTCAGAGAGATCCATACACTAACACACAACGACGACGCCAACGTCATACCAATATACGACCACAAAAATTTTTTTGCGGTCGTATAAAAAGTCACTGTCAGTTCTGACATAAATAAGAAAACACTTAATATTAAATAAAATGTGTTTTACTTTTATAAATAAAGCAACTTTTTTATTAAATTTTACTTAATAAATATCAATAATGATAAAAAAAGTTGTTTATGCCTAAAATCTGATAAATGTTCATTTATCAAGGCTAATAAACCTAAACTGTTAAAATGGATACATGTTAATGTATTAATAAAAAGAAAACATTGCAAAATCTTTCTCTTATATATTCAAACAAATGTTAAAAAAATATTTGTGACTTTTTGTCCTGTGACTTTTTTTGTTCTTTGACTTTCTGTCCTACATTCTTTTTTTTTTCTGGTCATTGATATATGCTATGCATATTTAAGGTGATGCAGTCCTATCCAAAATTGTGGCACTCGTTTTTCCTTATCTAGAACACCAATATCGACCTTCGAACCATGTTGAACTGATGTATACAACGAGCTCTTTTAATTCCTGGGAGTTTGCACGTTCTTTCAGTGTATTGAAAGCTGGTCTTATATCCGAGTGAGGCAAGAAAGGCAGAGCCATCAACGTACGGATGTATCTATATTCCACTCCTCTTGAGCTGTACGTTGTTTTCAGTCCCAAATCTTGAACTTTCCGCCAAATGGCTTCACCGAAATGGAAAGCACAACCTTTGATGCTTGCATTTGGAAAGATCTGTCGTATTGCTTTCCAAGCACCTGTTAAGAGAAAATGAAAGATTAAACCACTTACTAAGTCATTAAATAAATTGTTCATATAAAGTTCGACGATTTGGGATTTGGAAGTTCGACGATAATGTTATACCAATAGCATTATTATATCCATAACATATAACTAACTCGAATGTTTGCTAATAACTACGTTTTAATCCAATATTTACAATATTTACAATCATTGCGTATTACAATTTCACAACTTTGTTTTCGATGTTAACTTATCGCATGATAAAGACGAACTCTTTACGTCTGAACATTAGACATAAAATTTCACACTAATTTAACCTGATTCCCAGAGATGATCAAAACAAAGTAATTAAATCGCCACAGCTGCATTTGCAGACGACTATTATTTGAACTCTAAATGACTAGACTGACCTACTGAAGGTGTCATAAAATTTAGGAATCCCGTTAAGATTAACAATTAACTTTCTACACTGTAATAATCTCTTTTGAAAATACTGTTATCTTTAACTAATCTTAGCAGACGAAAATGTAACTTTATTTCAACATAATTATATTGAAAATTAACGATAAAATTAAACTTGCAAAAATATAAGTGCAATTAATAAAAACCAATTTCTACTCTATTAAAAATCATAACTAAAAAACAATCATACTAATAAAAACTAAAAACTATTGTCTTCAATCCACTACGCTCTTCTTAGTATTAATTTCAATAAAAGGAAGAACATTGGAATGACATTAGATGTGTTAACTATATATACTAGTATATATATGTGATACATTTTAAAGACAATTATTTCAGGTTAACGGACAATATGTCCCAAAATTGATAGAAAACGTAACAATTTATTACTAGTAATTATCCATATGTTGCATAAATAGTAACAAGTTCTTAAAATAATATTTTATTATAAATAAGATAACTGTATGTAGCATTTTTTTCATAAGCATTTTAAGATGATGATTCATCTTACTAAATCATAAACAAAATTGTAAGATAAAAATTCGTTGAAATAGTGAGAGAAAAAATTAAAAACAAATTCAATATATTAAAATGTAATTAATATATATACATACCTGTATTACAAACTCTGTGTACACATCTTTCACAGTTATCACAGGTCAGTGCTTGTTGTCTGGTAGTGACAACACGGGAACACTCGACACAATGGTCTGTGCCCATTTTTGGACGAAAGTATTAAATATTAAAGCGGATATACAGAGCAATTCGTGAAACAATTTGAAAATATTAAAAGACTATGATTATATTTTTAGTTTGTTACCAGATATATATGTACTTTTTACGCAATAAATTTAAAAAGAGGCGGTACTTGACATTTTAATTGGTATGCATTTGTCGCATGGAGTTCAGCAGCATTAACTCAAGCTGCTATACTAACGGGATATCATAAAAATGTTATCAGGCTGTCATTAAATACCGCTGTTATTAATTATCATGTGATAATTATACTGCAATATATAATCAACACCTGTTTCCTGAAACTTCTCTAATTAAAAGGATAAAGGTAGCCATCCTATTCTTTTTATTGCAGTTAATTGGAGATAATCATAAAATCGTCATAATACCATCAATAAAATACATAATTTAAATAGGAAACAATAATAAAATCATTGACAATGTTACATATTTATTACAGTTTAGTGTTACAACAGTTTATTAGATACGTTGAAAAACGGGTATGCAATTTTTAATGTTTATCTAACTTTTTATAGAAAAAGAAAAAGAAAAAAAATGAATTTCAGCGTAAAAATATTAAATACAAACACAAATATTTATTTATTTATTATGCACATTTATACCCCTAGGGGTTGGAGGAATATATAAACTATACAATACAAATATATACACAAACAATATATATGCAGAAATTATAACAGATTAAACATCATAAATAAAGTAGTAAATAACAGTATTATTCATGCAGGTTTTTTGTCTTCTCTCCTTTAAAAGTGCAAGTGATTTTTTTAATGAACGGAACAGTAAGCTGCATAATATCAAATGAAGATAGAAGTAATTGTAATCTATCTTTTTCAGACAATTTAAAGTATTATGGACATATTTTATCTATATCTTTTTCAAACTGATTACGTAAAGATTTATTAGTTTTACATTTTAAGAAAAAGAGGGTTTCATCTTCAACCTCATTTGTATCACAGTGTTTACATATTCTTTTTTCTCTTTTAACTCTTTTATACCTACATCTCTCTATTTTCAAGAAATTGTCACTTGTTCAATTTTACATAATGATTTTCTATTTTCAAAACTATTTTTAAAAAGCGTTTTTGTCTATAGGCACAATAATATATCTGATACATTATTGGACCGAGTTTGTAATATGCCGAGTTTGTAATGTGCCGAGTTTGCACTATGCCGAGTTGACATGTGCCGAGTTTGTAATGTGCCGAGATGTCTTGCTTCGTACTGTATACATGGTATAAGGACAGAATCAGTCTTCACTCTGAACCACAGGCCAGCAGCCCAGGCTTGTAAAATTGCTCTTGGGCCTGTAAAAATCATATCTACAGGCCAACAGAATTTAACTAAAATTTTCGAAAAAAATTATTGAGCTCCGGGCCTGTAGATTTTAAATGTTCATCATGAAGACTGCAGAACCTCAAAATCCAGAAAACATTGATGTTAATTTTTTGAGGGGATAATACAGAAGATTTTGCTTTTCAATAAGGTGTTATCATCTGATATATTTACATTCCGATCGCCTCGGCAAATCATGCATCTTTCAAAAATCTTTTCATCTTTTTGGAGAAAAATAAAACCGGAAGTGGCACAAAGGTAAATAAATTTTAATAATATCGGCTGCAGAACATATTTTCCGTAATTTGTCGAGCAATGATTAAGAACATCATGATGACTGCTGTACCCCAATTTTTGACATTTTCCCTATGATGTCTGTTTGTTTTGCTCATACATTGTTGTCAATATAATGAATTCTAGGGACCTCGGCACCTGGTAAAATCGGCACTCGATGTAGCCATTTCGGCACCCATGTTAAAATGATATGTTAAACTTATACTATGATAATATATATTCAGTATTTTAAGTAAAAAGATCAAAAGTAAAAAAAAAAAGGAATAGAGAAAAATGGGGTGCTAAAATATAAAGAATAGAGAATAACAAGCTTACAAGGAAGCTATTGAACCAATAGTTCCTAGTCAGGTGAACTTAGTTTGAAATCATCCGTTATGGATATCTATTTTACAAACGCCGTGACGACGGATATGTTCCAATTGTCATAACTTCATTCCCGTCCTCTTTTCCTCGAATGTGACTTACCGAATTAGACTTATCACCGGATTTTGTATTTACATTAGCAACACGACGGGTGCCACATGTGGAGCAGGATCTGTTACCCTTCCGGTTTTTGGTGGGGTTCGTGTTGCTCAATCTTTAGTTGTCTATGTTATGTTTTGTGTACTGTTATGTTTGTCTGTTCGTTGTTTATCGTTTTTTGCCATGGCGTTGTCAGTTTGTTTTCGACTTATAGGTTTAAAAATCCCTTTGGTATCTTTAGCCTCTCTTTTATATCATACTTCTACTCTTATTTGTGTTTAATTTGCTTTATTATTGTTAAAATATGTGCTTTATTTGCAGTTTGTGTTTTATTTTACTAGTACCACTTTTATGCTTTATAGTAGCATCCGGCGGGGGGCATAAAAATTAAGTGTTACCCTTGACCGTTCGTCTTTCCGTCTTTCCGTCCTTCAGTCTTACCGTCGTTCCATCCTTCCGCCCGTCCGTCCGTCCAATTTTCGTTTGTTTGAAGCTTGTGCAGGGGAATTCGTATCATCAGACATTTTATATTTTTTTTTATAATAATGCAATACTGAGCTTGCAGGGCCAGCTGAAGGACGCCTCCGGGTGCGGGAGTTTCTCTCTGCATTGAAGACCCATTGGTGGCCTTCGGCTGTTGTCTGCTCTATGGTCGGGTTGTTGTCTCTTTGACACATTCCCCATTTCCATTCTCAATTTTATCTTACTAGTGGTTTGTATAATCTGTATCTAAGTATTAAAATGTCCATCTCAGTAGTTCAAACATGGAATTTGTCTTATTTACCTTTGCACTAATATGTTTTTGAAAATTTAATTCAGAGTCAATAATTAGTTAATATGTATTTCTTCATTTGCTCTTTGTAATATTGTTGACTTCAGTGTCTACTTGAGTCTTGGTAAGCTCCCTTTTACCAATATTCGTCAGGTTGGGATTATTGAAGTAGCACTCCATTGTGATAATTTATTTAAGTCAGTTTGGTATTGAGCTATATCATCTTTTTGGCTAATTGAGTTTAAAATATTGGTATCATATTCAAGAATGCATACATCGTATAAGGTTAATTTTAAGTAATTTTTGTAGCATATCCATTTTGCGGGCATTGGAAGTACAGTTTTGACTAAAACCACTCGAAAATGGTAAAATTGAAATAAAAAAATCATCCATAGAAAGGTTTCTACTTGACTTTTTAAATAGTAGGTCTTTTTTAATTAAAGATAAACTTGTTTAACTTCTTCTTTCAAAATATTTAGTTTTTGCAGCATCAAGATAAAATTACAAGATACGAATAACAAAGTAAACTAAGGGCTCCTAAAGGACTTGACATATTAATAGAAAAGAAAGGATATGGGGTATCCATCCATGACACAAAATATTAACCCATCACATGCCAAAGAGACAACAACTTTTGAAAAAAAAAACTTAATTTCGAGTGCAATGCTTTGTTTTCCATTAGTTAGGGTTCGTATAAAAAAAACTACCACACATTATCCACTGTATTATAAGTAGTGTTGTAAGAAGTTGGATGGGTATTCCTAGTGGAACACGGTTCTCATAATAAATGGAAATCTTATATTATACAGAACAAAAATGCCTTGAATATCTATGTAATGTTGTCCATATACAAAATTGTAGCTAACATCCAAGTACATATTATTATGTATGCATAATATATATAAATATTACAAAACTAATCTGAATTAGAGGAAAAGTGATAAGTAATACTAGTAATGACAAAGATGAAATGACGATTTGTATAATCATAATATGCATACATAAATGAGCATGTGAATGAGGTTAAATAATTACATTAGATGTATGTTTCATTATTAAACGTTACTAGTATTTTGATTGGCTAACACTGAGTAACAGCAATCTTGCGTCATTTTTCATTTCAAAACCAACACTTACCAAATTTCCTAATATCACTTTTCATTCTTATGTATATCAGTTTGAACATTTAAATTGGTACATATATGTATATAGATCTCGCTACTAAAAAGTTTTTTTTTATTGTATTTGAGCAATCTAATTAAAATATAGATTCGTGCGTACATTTTTAGAATGAAGCGCTTCCGCGCTTCATACAAAATGTACTTCGGTCAACGCTTTTACACCCCAATGAATTTACAAAAAGAAGCATTCAATTCTTAAATAAAAGAAGAATGTGAATAAAGTATATTGGTATGATTGAGAATGTACAGCGCCAAGCAACAAAACAACTACCAGGTCTTAGGTACTCAACATACTCAGAAATAATACAAAAATGAACTGTCATCACTAAGCTTTTTAAGGTTCCGAGAAGATATGATTTAGCATCACAAAATATTACAATGGTAAATACCACAGCACTCTTTGTATAACTCTGGAAGGACATGACCACGAGAACAGGGGTACGAGGCAACAGTCTGAAAATAAATCAGCAGATTGCTAGAACAGAATTAAGCACACGTGCCTTTGCTCTACAAGAGGTAAAATCATTGAAAACGCTACCAGAAAATATAGTTACATCACTAACAACAAATATATTAAGCTTGACAAATACTGGATGAACCAAACAATGATGTACGAGGACTGCAATCACCGGAAATGGAGAAAAAATTGGTGTAGAGAATGATGAAGATCGGGGACAGTAATCCTGTTTCAATAAATGAACCTAAGTAAACCTAAGTCAGTCAGTAGGTAAATAAGTAAGTAATAAAATGGTTGTAGGAGATCAGGGCCCGTATGCATAAAGCTACTTAAGTTAAGATTTGTTCCGAAAGGACGGATTTTTCTACATGTCCTACGATAAATTAGTATTACGATTGTATATCTTAACTTAATTAAGTAGCTTTATGCATATGGGCCCGGGTTTTTATTGTACATTACTATCCTTTTTAGTTTTGTTGGGTTGCCAACCAAGCGCGTAGCTACGTTAACGTCAAAACGCCCGGGCGTACACATAAATTTGAAGAAAAAAATATTTTAACCCTAATAAATCAAAAGAACTGATTAAAAGCACACGAGCATTGTAATTCTTTCTTCAATGACTTGTAATTAAAGATAAAAGACTAAGTGATGAAAGTAGAAGGTCCGGTAACGGCTAGTTTTGGCCTAAAATTCGAAGTACAATTGATGAAAGATTTTTGATATTTTTTAAACACTTAAGTGTCTATTTCAGTCGATTCAATTAGTTTATGTAATAGGATTTGAAATGATTTGGTCATTAAAGACGCTGAAATTCAACCTTAAATATGAAAAATTCTATCAAATATGCCATTAAACGTCACTTTTCAGATGGTTTTTGTCTAAAATGTAAGTGGCCGCATTCGTGTTCAGTCTCAACCTTTATATATGTTATGTATAACCATCAAAAACAACATATATTTGAATATTAAGACTGAACACAAATGCTGCCACTTCCATTTTAAACAAAAACCGTCTTAAAATTAGCACAAATGTGCATTGTATTGTCAAAAACAGCCCATATTTATGGAACAAAAGTATTCTTCTTTCCAATAAATAGCTAAAAGTTTACATCAATTCTACAAATTTAAAAAAATGCTATATTTTGGGGCCAAAAAAGGGTCTTACCGGGCCTACTGATTTACTTCTTAATCAATTGGTATCACATTATTTTTATATACTTTTAGCTAGGTCATATAGATCTGCAACTGTTTCGGTTCTTATGCATCCTCGGCTTTCAAATATTCGGCTTTGAATGTTACTGGTGAAGGTAAATCCAGAAAAGCGCTAAATGGACACATGAAATTAATAACGTGTTGTTTTCATATTTTATATTATATATTTGTCCATTTTCTGTCAAAGTCTGATTTTACTGTGAATTCTACAGTTTACTTTTGTTTAGATCAATTCATTATCTGCTGAGATACGATGTGGTTTGCATTTTTATGTTACAGTTCAATATTTATTTTACGTTACACCTGACCGATCTATGAGAATTAATTAGGACATGTGTCCATTACTGAAATTTGAATTTGAAGGTGAGTAAATTAAATAAGGTAAAAAATTAATAGAATGACAACATTGAAACGGAGACTTGCTTTTTTACTATCTCTTTAAAGTTTTGATTTTTTTGTTGATTGACTGTTTACCCCACATCTCCTTTTAGACATATTTTAACGCAACTGGTTTGGACATTTTTCTCTTAATTAAATGTACATTATATTCCAAATCAACACAAAATTGATAAATTTAACATAAAAAAAACAACAAATTAGACTCTAAAAGAGAAGAGAAAGATATCAAAGGGATATTCAAACTCATCAGTTTAAAACAAACTGACAATACCATGGCAAAAAATGAAAACTACGAAAAGGCAAACAACAGTATACAAAACACAACACCAAAACAAAAGACTGAGCAACATAGCCCCACCAAAACTGGGGGTGATCTCAGTTACTCTGGAAGAGTAAGCAAATTCTGCTCCACGTGTGGCACCCGTCGTGTTGCTGATGTATGTACAAACCCAGTGATAAGTCTAATTCGGTAGGTCACATTCGAGGAAAAGAGCTAGGACGGGATTGTGGTAATATCAAAATTTGAACATATCTGTCGTCATTAGCAATCAGTGAAACAGATATTCCATAACGGGCAACCTACTCGTGATGTCGACCGTAAAATTTCGAAGGGATGATTTCAACTTCACCACTTGGAACTCTTCACTTGGTTCAGTAGCTTCCTTCTAAGCATGCAGCAACCATCTATCAAGGAAATAATGATAGGAAATGCAAGCTCTGGAATGTCTTATCAACTGGGAGGTTTATAATCCATATGCAGGTGCTGCTGGAATGTTGCTACATAGAAAAGAAAAGTTCACAATTGGAAGCTGAAATCATCTCTTTTATCGTAAAGTTTTGTTCTTATATCGATCAAGTATGTTGCTATTGATATGAGTTTTTAATGACAGATATTGGTATCTTTTTCTCAATAACGCGTGAACTTCCGGGGGTTTCGCGACCTACCAGAAGATCTCCTGCCCTGGACCAGCTTAGGGGACCTCGAACCCCTCGATGAGATTCGGGCGTACACTTAAAAATGGCCTAGCTACGCCACTGGTTGCTGACTCCGTTCATCACCAACACTTACCAAATTTCCTAATATCACTTTTCATTCTTATGTATCTCAGTTTGAACATTTAAATTGGTACATATATGTATATAGATCTCGCTACTAAAAAGTTTTCTTTTATTGTATTTGAGCAATCTAATTACAATATAGATTCGTATGAAGTATAGCGAAATCAGAGAACTATATTTCAATTAGATTGGTATTTGAGGCGACATAGACCACAATCAATCAATAAATCAATGTGTCTATTATGAATAAAATTTCAACTGCCGATGATATTAATCATTTCATAGCGAATTTCATTTTGTAAAAAAGAAAAAGAAAATAAAGATATTAATCTAATTTTACAGTGTTCATACTTTGAGAAACACATTTTTAATCACGATTAAAAAAAGACATATTATATCCTGGATCCGCCACTGCAAATGAATGTCTCATTTATCAACACAGTAACTTCTTCATCTTTTTCTATCCCTTTGGCTAAGGAGTTTCATTTATAAGTCACGAATGAATTGACAACATTCGAATAGCCTCTGGCTTTTTTACTTACAAAGTGAAGTTAGATGTTGTTTTAATTCAAGAAACAAGTGGATATTTTCGGAAAAAGTATTTTTTCGACGTATAGAATTTTTCAAATATGTCTGTGGGTATGTATTATAAGTTAGAATTTTTCCAATATACATGTCGTTTTTTTTTTATATAAATTATATAAGTTCCGATAAGTTTCACAATAACTACATGTAACAGCATCTTATATTTCAATTCAAATTTCTGCTTCTAAAATAAAACTTCTAACCACTTTTTAACACGATCATGAACATGCAAGCATGACATTTGTACAGACAATGTGTTTACAATTTTAAAGATTGTTTAAAAGCTTGTCAAAAAGCTATTATATAGGTTTATTTGTAAGAAAACTAGTGAATTACTTATTTGTAATTGACATAATCAATTACATAAAAAAAAACCATAGGAAATGGTGCACAACATGTACATAGAAACACGAAAAGCCATCGGAGTCTAAATTGGTTATCTCGGCTTATTAACCAGTTTTTACTGAAACATTTAACGTGCTGAAACAAAAACAAATTGAAGCTGAAACAAAAAGAAGATTTGCAAACTGAAAAATCCGCTGTAGGTACTTGTTATGTATGCGCCAAAACAAACTTTGGAAAACAATCAGTGAAATTTACGTGGAACTTGAAAATGAAAGCCACAGGGTTTATAATTTGGAAAAACACAATATTGAACAGGTATAAACAATGCATTTCAAAATATGGTTACATATATTTACAATGATAGATAAACGGGGAAAACAAAACTGTAGAGAAATCAATAATTGATATATTTCTTTAAAAGAAACTAAAGTAGCAAAGAGGTATAATATGGTCCGTTACTCTTATATACTCTACTCAAAACGTTAGGTTTGGGAATGGCGACGAAAATTAGTGTAATTGTAGTATCACCGAGATAAAACTAAACCATTCTCAAACATTTCATGAAGATATTCAGTCCTATACTTGTTGCTGTTGAAACCAATTGTGTTAAAATGTTGAAAAATTTATGGTTTTGTAAAATGTTTCATTAAAATAACATCGGAACAAACATAAATGAATTCTCATTAACAAGACGATGGCTAATTGCTAATTTTGATAAACTATGGATTATAGGATTGAGTTTTTTTAAGAAGAGAACTAAAAAACTTTAAAAGTCTTTCTCATCAATGATGGAGACATGACAAACTATTGTGAGACCCGTAAGACACGTTAGTGAAATTGGGATCCTGTGAATGTTGTTAGAGATCCTGGCACCTATTGAATATAAAAATAAGGAGATGTGGTATGATTGCCAATGAGACAAATATCCACCAAAGTTCAAATGAAGTGGATACATGCAATTAAAGGCAACCGTATGGCTTTCAACAATGAGAAAAACCTGTACCGTATAGTCGGCAATAAAACGACCCGACATGAAAAATATGAATATTTCCATGATGGCGAAATGTATATAAAGGAAACGAATCATACCTCTTCATCACATTTCTCCTCTTATTTTTTTTGGGGTAATATTTCAAATATATTTTATTGTTATGGCTTTATCGTACAAAAAGAAAAAAAAAATTCCGAAAAAAATCCGAAATATAACGATAAACGAACAAAAAACAACATTTCTTCAGACAGATAGATAGACCATATTTGAAACATATAATGTTTTGTCTGATATTGGACATTTAGCTACCAGTATTCCAATCTGATTAAAATACAGATAATGTATTCAAGCTTTGCTTACTGTAAACAGAGCTTGGACACAGGATCTGTAGTTTTATCAGGGTGCGGTCCTCTTTATTTCTGTATTCTCTATTCTTTTCACGTAATTTTTCTGTATTCTTACTTATTTTGCATTATTCTCCATTCTTTATATTTTAGCACCCCTTTTTTCTCTGTGCTATACTTTTTTGTCTCATGATTTTCTCTACTATTTATTTTTTTGCCCTTTATTCTGTGTTTTTTGCCAATTATAGTCACTATATTCTGTAACTCATCCAGACCCTCATAAATCTCCTTTCCACTCGGAACAATATGTACTTTGGATGACCTTAGCTGACATTACTTATACCAACTAAAACAGCAATTCAATCTTTAACTTACACAGTTTTCTGTGTATTTCGCCTAGGCATAGAATTGTCACTCTCATTGTACATTGTATTAGTCATAAATACCAGTTTGATGGCCAGATAAAATGTAAATCATCAACTGCCCCTGGGATAGGAGATATTTAATTGTCAAAACCACCATCCTAAAACATGCATTGTTACAAAGGGAATACACACATCACGTGACATGTTTTGCCCTTTGGATGTTGACCTGTCAAACGAACTGAAGAATTTTTTAGATGTATATCTGTTAACTGGAGTAGTCATTCAGATCGACAGATACAGATAAATGTTTTTGTTTGTTTGGAATTTAACATCATAAAGATATTTGAAGCATATTAAATTTTGTAAAAGGACAATTGATGTATATTTGTATAAATATATAAAAACAACTTAATAAATGAATACATAAAATAAATAAACAAACAATTACTTCCATCCAATTATTGTCAAAATAACTTAAAATACACAAGTATGCTTTTCTTTTTTTTTTTCGCAAAAAAGGTGTTACGGTAACCTTATAATTATTTGGAAAGCTAGAAACACCACACAACATATAACCTAATAGTTTAATATTAAAAATGGATTGAACTTTATCATAACAAGTAGAAATACACAAAAAGAGAAAGAAAGAATATATGATAATGGCAATCCAACAAGAAAAGAAAGTAAAGAGAAATTAACAATCAGCATACATGAACAGGCGCAAACACCATATATGCCCGAGCCTATTTTTAATAGAAAAGGAAGTTTGGGCCCAGCCCTGTATTTAGTCACAGCAGGGACGATTTGAAATGGATTTTCAATCTGATTAAAACTCACTTTGTCAAAGCTCAATGTGCGGACTTTGTGATTCTAACAATTCTATGGCTTATTTCTAAATATATATATATATATAGTAAACACCTAAAAAATGATTAAAATCTGAATTTCTTAGATAGACTGTTACAAGTTTAGACTATTTCTTAACAACACAAAAAAACCACACACACACGAAGGACATTATAAATGTAGCAAAACTCTTTTGGAAAAACCCTATATATGGCAATTTAAATTTACCTTAATTATAACTGATTTTGTTAAAGATGTCCTCCGATGCCAAATTTTGAACCATGGATTTCATGTTTTCGCGAAGTCAAAATACAGACTATTTGATTCAAATAAAGTCAGATGGATGGTAGAATGAAGGATGTATTGATATTTATGTTCAGTAGCAAATATTACATGCATATCAAGACTAGAACAGTTCAATATGACATGAATAAGAACGCTGCTTTGAACTCTACAAAGATACTAAGCCGGACTTTCAACTTGCTACAAATGTAATTCGACGAACTAATGATTCAAAGAGACCACCGAGTCGGTTAGATAATTACTGGTAAGTTGAGTGAATATCTACTGTCCAGCAGACAATGATTCAATCATTTTTACCACCAGAAATGTTATACAGTAAAAACAATTTAAATCCCGCTTTTGTATTAGACCTACAAGTGCTTGTTTGCGTGGTAATACAGGCAGGCATGTCACCGTATACGGACAAATAGATGACAAGACTTGACCTTACTCTGAATATCGCCGTCTTAGCGAAGAAGCAATTTGTTTCATGTTTGACATCTTTGAAATCGAATCAGCGAATATTCGTACTTAACGCGCAAACTTCAGTTTATTCCGTTTTTAGTTTGACATTATCAATTACAAATAGATAAAGTCTAATATTATTTTATTTGACTAGATCCGTTTTATGAATATATCAAAAAAGATGGTAAAATGGGAATGAAAAGCAAACAAATAAAAAAAAAAAGCGAACACAAAAGAAAAAGGAAAAGTAAACGCCGAATGTAATGGTATTTATTAGAAATAAGAAGATGTGGTATGAGTGCCAATGAGACAACTCTCCATCCAAGTCACAATATGTATACATGTATTTCCTCTTCAATGATTGTAGGACAATATATTTTATTATTATATTTATACAACATACCTAAGATGTGACAGGAAATTTTCTTAAATCACGATTCTTCGTATCCAATCAGAGCTTTTTTAAAGTTATAACTACTAGCTGCTACTTGGTAATATTAGTTTGGTCAGTATTAACACCAGGTGCTTGATATTGATCATACATGTACATTTTGTTATATTAAACTAACTTTTCAAAAGCTTTTCTATCCTTCTCCGTTACAGTCAGGCGCAGATTCAAGAAGTGGCGTATATGGCATACGGCCCTTTTTTGATCGGGAAAAATAATATGTATTTTATTGCTTTCAAATGGTCCAAAATTGGTTCTCCTCGATATGCTACGTGCTTTTTTATCGTCCAGACATTTTTGCTCCCTTTTTTTCAAATCCTGGAACCACACTATTAGGTATATGTTACGTTCATATGATACAATTAAGTTTTAATCTATTCTTTTATTCAACAGGACAAGTGAAGATGGCAGAGTCCGCCATGTGTGACTGTACTTCGGAGTTTGGTAAGCATAAAAAGATAAGTAATACAATTCCCATGATATATAACATGCAATCAATATTATTTCAAACTATATTTGAAGAGCTGAGTGCACGTCATAGACTTCGAGAATTTATATTGATAAAAATCACGAAACCAGTGACCATGTGATTATGAAAAAAAAATCCAAGCGAACATACTTCATACAAAAACTAAGATTCTGAATTTCACATCTATGAAATAAGATAAGAATTCTAAGCACAAAATCAGGCCCCAAATAGGAGGATATATATAACACAAACACAATAGATTAGAAACATTAACAGTTGGTTTATTTTTCTGGTTTATTTTTAATAACTAATGCATTTACCTCATTTTCGTAAGAAGCGTCTCTCCTAAATAGTTGATTATAATAAATGTCACAGAACAATCATCTCAAAATATGTTTTCTGGATATTTCGACGAAGATAAAAAATACCAAGAGGACAGACATAATTTGAAGTGAAAACACAGAAAACTAATATTGAGCAACATAAATAAACAAAAACCCACAGATGAACTCGGGTACTCCGGATGGGTAACACCTATTGTGTTGCTCACGACAAGTATCCGGTAAAAGTCACATCCGGTGATGCCATGAACAAGGAAAGGAGACGAGATCGTGATGACTATAGAAGAACATAATCCTTGGTCATCTTTAGAGATATACACTATACCTTAATAGTCAACCACACCATGATGGTGTTTGGAAAACTTTCTAGTCGATGACTTCCATTTTTTTTCATGGAGAACCTTTTCTGACATACTTTCCTTGTAAGCAGAAACTCTGTAATACATCGTCAAGGAAATCGTGATCGGAAACACAGGCACTGGAAGAATTGAGAAAAAAATTCTATCAAAGTATTCACAAGGGACAAAATGCTGCTTTCAATATTTTATAGTTTTATATGATAATTATGTCAAGGTACAATGCTTTAACCATTTTATTGTTTGAGTTATTTTCTCCTTTTACTCATGCGAAAGAGAAGTAATAATAATTATGTCATTGACAATCATTTGTAACGAGAAATATAATATTTAGGGTTTGCTGATATAGTCAAAGGACAAACATCTACATCTGCTGTGACCGGTATGACTGACGATGAAACAGCGGTCTTAGCTGGGGTGTTAGCTGGGCTCGCAACGTTTCTCTTCCTGGCACTTCCACTCTTGTGTTGTTTGTGTCCACTACCATTCGCTTGTTGTGGAGGAGGAGGAAAAAAGAAGGCCGCTGCCGCTGCTGCCGGAGCCGGTGTACAGAAGAGGAAAAATATTCATGAATTTTCAAGGTTTGTTAACAGGTTTGTCGTTTAAATCTAAGAAAAATGTTTCATCACTTTTAATACAGGATCATTTGATTCATGGTGGTTCAATCGAGATTCAAAATCTAAATTATAAATACATAAATATACATTTTGAACATGTAACTGGAAAAAGAAAGAAATCTGATGAAAAAAAAAATAAAAATTACTGTCATAACCCAGATTTTGATCAAGCATCTTCTACGTTGAGCTTGTTATATGATGATAAATCTTCCACTTTCAGGATACTTCATTGTGGAATAAGTTTTGTAACATTGTTTCAAAATAATCAGAAAACTGTTGTTTGGCCAGTTAAAACGTAATATACATCTTTTTTTTAATTTGAATATTAAACCAGCACCAATCATCAAAACCCAACTCCGTTAGCTACATCATTTAAAAAAAAACAAAAATAAAAATAACAACATTTTTATTTGTTTTCATCGTTTCATCCTACTTGTAGTATTGGTCATTTGTCTTTGATGCCTAGAAAGCAGTCCACGTGTGCATGCTTTAGTCGCTATTTCCATTTCAGTGGAGAATATTTCAATTTCAGTGGCCGAAGTACAGACGTAGAATCTATTGGGAGTTATCGTTCTTGGGATAAGAATTGGGACAAACTCGATCGATTTGACCATGACAACTTGTATGAAGTGTGAGTAACAATTATAATTTAATAATAAACACTTATAATACGAATGAACGACTTACACAAATATTTTGCGTGTGTTAGTGTTTGTTTGTATTTGTGCTATCTTGTCGTTGTCATGTTTACATGACTTGGGACACGTTTACTAACGGAGGCGAAAACATTGTTACACATTCGGCTACGAATTCATACCGTTTTGTACACTTTCAACATAATATATGAAGAAACGTTTGAGGTGCACCAAACGTTGATTTCTTTTAAGATTATTGTCTCATTGTTCAAAGTAAACTCTACACCTCCTCTTAATCAACGAAACGTAAACTTTACTCTATAAATCAACTATCAAGAATATAGCAGGTAAAATATTCACAAACAATCTATCTCAAAGGAGAAACAATGAAGAACTAGAGTTTTTTTGGTTATACGAGCCGTCGATATCGAGAATGACCATAGATGCTCCTGAAGCGAGAATGATTGATATACGGTGCCTCGGAAGCGAGAATGATAATAATTGCTTCGGGAGAGAAAATTATATTAGGTGCTTCGGAAACAAGAATGATTTCGGGTGCAGGGTCTTCTGTTACCGTCAATCGTATTACCCAATGCATCAAACTTCGTTATTGTCAGAACTGGACGTAATGGTCTTATGAAATATGCAGCTGGTCATTTGCTACATACTTGCCTTATGATCGGCGAATATGTGATGGCTACTGTAAAACTAATACATTGTGATAATATTAGTTTAGTGTAGATTCATATATATATATATAGGTTAATTGATTATAGACGATTGCATAACACTCCTTTACACATAAACTCCGATACTAAGACTAAAATAAAGCAATTGATAAGTGTACTGATATTAAAATCCTTTTTAAATTTTTAAATATTTGAAAATTGCACATGCAATCTGTGGATTGTTTTCTTTAGTAATAGTATTATCAGTTTAATAGTCTTATTAAAAACACAATGGGTAATACGAATAGGAAATAATTACACGAGTCCCGAAACAAACAGTATAAAACATGGGGAAATGCACTTTATCAGTAATAATGTTGAGCTATTTCAATCGTTAAAATTTATAAAACTGGCTCTGGTTTTACGATGTGAATATATTCCACTTTTTCTTTTTTTAGAATTGAATATTAAAACAATTCTTTGTAATTTAGCCTGGGGTATTAACAAATAAATTTAACATATTGTTCATTTAAATATTTCTGAACATTCATCTAAAATTGTATCAAATTATCACATAGTGTCAAAATTTCATTAGATAAAGTAAAAAGACAAAATTTTTCCAGTTTCAAATTAACGAGGTTTCGTCTTTAAGTTAAGTTAGAGTTACTTCCCTTTGTGTACAATTTTTTAAAACCTCTTGATTTTCGAGCATTTCTAGTTTGCACGCCTTTCATTATATTAATGAATGATTTTCACCATTGCTTAACAATGAATATAATTCTAATGAATGGCGACTTTTGAAAATTGGTTAAAATCAATTCGGAAGATATGACAATATTGAATACCGGTAGGTTTTACTCATCTTAAAAAATATATTTTTTCATAATTTTGTAGGGACATGAAACTTCCTCGAGTATGGTTAGAAACTCTAAGAGGGTATGTATATAGCGTCATTAAATGAAGTTAGAGTTAATTCCCTTTTGACAGAAGAGTCAGCGACTAATTTCACAAAAAAATCTTACGAGAATATATATATTACTTACGATCAATTTTTGCCGTAAGATATTTTGTGAAAAGAGCCCCTGATGACTGAATTATCAAAAATTTCAAATTCCATTGAAACTTATATATGTAGTGATCTATTCGTTTGTATAAAGGCATGCTTATTTATTTATGATGTCAGAAAACAAGATAAGAAATGCTGTTAATTATAAGTATTTACTAGGAAAAACTAAAAACGGAAATTTTTGACAAACTGCAAGGTCAAGATTGAATTATCTATGACAAAATTTTATTTAGAAAACTACTTCGTTTTAGATTGTTAACAAGACAAAATAAAATCTCAAATGAATAAGATATTATTGTGTGTTATCGAACTAATGAACTTACATTATGAGGAACTAGCCTTTTTAACTGTGAGCATAAAAGAAAAATAGCGTCAAGGTTGCTTGTTCAAATGTTTCATATCTTTAATCGATAATGTAGTGACTGTCGTAGAATCATCATTTTTGTCTATGATATACATCTGATCGACTTCTGGTGTACAGTTTGAATACATTTTTTATTAACAGAGTTCCGGTCGCTGAAATAGAAACTAGACTGTCCAGTTTAAATATTTTATCATTTTTCAGTGTTCCGGACGATGAAGAAGAAACTAAACTGTGTCCAGTTTAATCTTTTTAATTTTGTTTTCAGTGTTCCGGACGATGAAGTAGAAACAAGGTTACGTGAACTCACCAGAGATGGAGGCTGGGAAGGTAATGACGCCAAACAGATGTCGGAAATGGAAATGAGGCGGGAAATGTATGAGGAATCAGGATCCGGTGGTATGGGAACCGACGGAGGTAGATATGCGACTGTACAACGGATGGAAGGAAGCGGAGGAGGAGGAGAAGAACTTGTTGCTGAATACGAAATCTCTAGGCATATCACCATGGATACCACAAGAATGACGCTACCTGAAACTGAATATATTTACGAAAGAGACATTCGAGGGCAAGTAGAAAATGTCTTATCATCGATATTCGGGCTGTTAAGATGTAGCTGTACAATTTTTTTTAATTTGTAAAATTGCATGTAGACAACATGCAGCTTTACAGCTATCATCCGAATAGAAGTTTTTTAATAACTAACGACGGGTTAATTATATAGCCTTTTTGAAAGAATAGCGACAGAAGATATCAAGGGGACATTCATATCTCATAATTCGATATAAACTGATATCGTAATGGCAAAAAACAAAATTCGACAACGAAAAGGCATAAAACGAAATTCAACAACGAAAAGGCAAAACACGAAATTCGAAAACGAAAAGGCAAAAAAACGAAATTCGACAACGAAAAGGCATAAAACGAAATTCGACAACGAAAAGTCAAAGAAACGAAATTCGACAACGAAATGGCAAAACACGAAATTCGATAACGAAAAGTCAAACAAATCCCCAAAACACTACATAGACATTTCACGACCGAACATCATGAACACTACCAAAAAAGGGGAGCGATCTCAAGTGTCCTTAATCCTGTAAGCTCGTAATCATACGACAAAGTTGAAAGTAGTTTGAAACTACTACAATTTTATAGATAAATACGATTAAATGATTACAATTTGATCCCCTTGTTATGAACTAAGAATCAGCACAAAATATATTCATTGAGCTTAAAGATTTTTTTACAGATCAATTATCACAAAGTACGCATGCTTTACAAAAGCGTGGAACGCAACACGAAATATAAAAATGTTGAAAACAGTAAGGAACAATAACCTTGGCAAAATAGACAATAGCACATAAAATATGCATTGGTTTTACATAAGTCACTTTAAACCTTAGGTTAAATTTGCAAATTATTTTTAGCTGGAGATTTTATTCAAAAAGTATTTCTTATATCATGTCAGTCGTTGCAATATACGCTTTTGTATTGGTTATTGTTTTTGGTTATTGTCTCATTGACATACACCCTGCATCACCATCTCATCGTTAAAGGTTGTTTAGGGGCCAGTTGAAGCCCGCCTCCGGGTGCGAGACTTTTCGCTGTGTTGAAGACCAATTGGTGGCCTTGGGCTGTTTTCTGCTCTGTGGTCGGGTTGTTGTCGCTTTGACACATTCCCCGTTTCCATTCTAAATTTTATTTGCCATATAAAATACTAAACATTTTCACCTATATATAAGAAAAAAACAAGAACATCGGTTTCATAAATTGTAATATGTCCTATTTATACATGTTACAGGGATAGCAGCATTGCTGACCGAGATAATTTCAAAAGAGTTTACTATACCTACCAAAGGATAAAGGGAGACGACTCGAAACAAACGTCATTTTGAGATTAGTGAACAGAGACTCTTTATTGCTTGCTGCTCGACTTAAGACGTTGCTCTTACTCTGTATTTTATACTTTTGAAATATCGTAGTCAATATATTGTTACCGTCAGACCTACATTTGATTAATTTAGTCCAGATATATATGATGTTCCAAAATTTACTATTGTCTTAAAATAAAACGGATAAAGGGTAACAGTATCATTGTTGTATATAAATTTCATTTTTACGATATCTCGTTTCCAAATAATAGCTGAAAGTGTAACTTAAGTAATAGAAATAGTTAGTAAAATTTATATGATAAAAATATCGATATCAAACGCAAAAGGTACAACGCATGCATCTGACAAATGCCGTGCTCTAATGTAAATGTGGATCTTTAAGTCTTTGAGGGGATCTAACTAAGGGAAGGAATACTTTTTGTTGTCAGTTATGCTTATGCAGTAATCTATCAGCTAAACACACTTAGAATATATACTGAAAAATAATTTACTAACAAATAGAAGCTTGTTAAATAGTACCATGTGACGACTTTCTATCCGTTTTAAACTTAAGCAACTGGCAAAATCGTACCATGTGACGACTTACTAACCAATACAAACTTGTGAAACTGGTAAATCGTACCAGATGATGTTTTATTAACCAATGGAAACTGGTAAAATCGTACCATGTGACGACTAGAGCAAAATCCACACATGTTAATCTTAAATGAGATATTTGTTTAAGTAGTATATTTTTATTACTTGTTATGAATTGAGATTTGATTTGTTTAATTTTATACTTCCCAGGAATGTTTCATGTAAATATTGAAATGTGATACACAAATAAAGTGCTTACAAACTTGCAGTATTTTTTATTTTGATATAAACATAAGAACATTTGGTATGATTGCCAACGAGACAACTCTCCATCAGAGACCAAATGAAGTAGAAGGTTAGCAACTATAGGTCACCGTACGGTCTTCAACAATGACCATAACCCATACCGCATAGTCGGCTATAAAGGGCCCCGAAATAAATGCAAAACAATTCAAACGAGAAAACTAACGGTCTAGTTTATGTAAAAAAAAAAAAACAATAAATGAAAAACTGATATGATAAACAGCAACTAACGACAACCACTGAATTACAGAAACAACTAACAAAAACACAATAGACACAAAGTACAGACATGAGAGTACTCGCAGTTACAGAAAGCTGGGTCAAAACCAAATACAACTTTATAAAAAAAATATCAATCAGAATACATCTAACTTCCAAAGGATTTAATGTAAAGACGCCATTAACAGTAAAAAAAAACATGACCTTGTATAATACCAAAATATGGATATCTAAATATGGGAGTGTAGGACCATGAATGTACTTACTAGTATGTTTAAAACAATAATGACTTGCCTATTGACATTAAAATCGGAGAAATACACATTCAGTTACTTTTTATCTAGCATTAATTGACAACACACAGAAGCAGACGGTCAAAGAAGTGTTGAATAAATCAAGAACATCTACTCTGACTCTGATGGGCTACATGAATTTCCTCGGATATAAAACTATTTGAAATTAAATTGCTGTACGACAAAAAAAAAGCAGCATTTTTATTTGGATAGCCTGTTTGCCATGGATGTAAGCTGCATTTCGACTGACTTATTACAGTTTTGGGCGTCTAATCGGTCCAAAACCAATTTCAAATGAAACTTTACTTTATAACAAAGAGCAAGTTAGGGTTAAAAGTCAGTGGCTGTATCCGAAAGCACCTTTTATTGAGATTTTTATATTATGTTTTTTTCTTAAAAATTTGCCATATTTTGTTCTGATTTGATCACTTCTATCATCTCTATAAGAAAGTAGTTGAGGGCCATTTAGTGACAATTATATATAAATCCCGTTACAACAAGCTTATATGAATAAAAGAAATTCCACTTCATATGAACTCTAGTGGATAGTTTCTCATTGGCAATCTTACCACATCTCCTTATTCTATTATGTATGTAAACTTAGTAAACTTGGGTAGCTGTCGTATTGGAAATCATCCTTTACTGAAAACAGGTTTAAAACTTTAAGTTACTAGGATGACTAAAATGACAAAAAAACTGGTCCACATAAGATTGTATAAAATAAATCAGTTCGTTGTTTTCTGTCGGTCATATTAGTTTTTTGTTGATTGTTTAAGCATACAATTCAATGCAATTCAATATTTTATTTACGTCTGCCCTTATGCATACAATTACACAATACAATCATAAAAGAGATATTTTTTTATACATAAATAAACCAATCTGTACAGATCTATGAGAGACGATAACAACTCTCAAACAACATGTATATACATTAAAATACAAACATGAATATTAAAAATCTGTAGCATAGTTGTGATATTATTTAACATATAAAACTTCTCGGCGTCTATTAATTTCTTGATTCGAAAATAAAAATACCACTTTCTAAAAGTCTGTAAAACTATTAAAACGTTCATCAATTTTAAAAGATTCAGTAAAAAGAATTTGTCATACATCAGCTTGTTGGCTTTTCTCTTTTTAATGGTTGTACACTTTGTCATGTCGGGGGCTTTTTTATAGCTTACTATACGATATGGGTTTTGCTCATTGTTGAAGGCCATACAGTGTCCTATAATTAATAACATCCTCATCCATTGGTGGGTATTTGTCTCAATGACAACCTTACTCATCTTCTTTCTTTCTTTTTTTAATTATAGAAACAAATTAGAGAAAACATAAACCAATAGGTCAAGGGTGTAGGGACACAAGCGGACTGGAACAGCAGAAACAAATTAGAGAAAACATAAACCAATAAGTCAAGGGTGTAGGGACACAAGCGGACTGGAACAGCAGAAACAAATTAGAGAAAACATAAACCAATAGGTCAAGGGTGTAGGGACACAAGCGGACTGGAACAGCAGAAACAAATTAGAGAAAACATAAACCAATAGGTCAAGGGTGTAGGGACACAAGCGGACTGGAACAGCAAAAACAAATTAGAGAAAACATAAACCAATAGGTCAATGGTGTAGGGACACAAGCGGACTGGAACAGCAGAAACAAATTAGAGAAAACATAAACCAATAGGTCAAGGGTGTAGGGACACAAGCTGACTGGAACATCAGAAACAAATTAGAGAAAACATAAACCAATAGGTCAAGGGTGTAGGGACACAAGCTGACTGGAACATCAGAAACAAATTAGAGAAAACATAAACCAATAGGTCAAGGGTGTAGGGACACAAGCTGACTGGAACATCAGAAACAAATTAGAGAAAACATAAACCAATAGGTCAAGGGTGTAGGGACACAAGCTGACTGGAACATCAGAAACAAATTAGAGAAAACATAAACCAATAGGTCAAGGGTGTAGGGACACAAGCGGACTGGAACAGCAGAAACAAATTAGAGAAAACATAAACCAATAGGTCAAGGGTGTAGGGACACAAGCTGACTGGAACATCAGAAACAAATTAGAGAAAACATAAACCAATAGGTCAAGGGTGTAGGGACACAAGCTGACTGGAACATCAGAAACAAATTAGAGAAAACATAAACCAATAGGTCAAGGGTGTAGGGACACAAGCTGACTGGAACATCAGAAACAAATTAGAGAAAACATAAACCAATAGGTCAAGGGTGTAGGGACACAAGCGGACTGGAACAGCAGAAACAAATTAGAGAAAACATAAACCAATAGGTCAAGGGTGTAGGGACACAAGCGGACTGGAACATCAGAAACAAATTAGAGAAAACATAAACCAATAGGTCAAGGGTGTAGGGACACAAGCGGACTGGAACAGCAGAAACAAATTAGAGAAAACATAAACCAATAGGTCAAGGGTGTAGGGACACAAGCGGACTGGAACAGCAGAAACAAATTAGAGAAAACATAAACCAATAGGTCAAGGGTGTAGGGACACAAGCTGACTGGAACATCAGAAACAAATTAGAGAAAACATAAACCAATAGGTCAAGGGTGTAGGGACACAAGCGGACTGGAACATCAGAAACAAATTAGAGAAAACATAAACCAATAGGTCAAGGGTGTAGGGACACAAGCGGACTGGAACATCAGAAACAAATTAGAGAAAACATAAACCAATAGGTCAAGGGTAGAGGGACACAAGCGGACTGGAACAGCAGAAACAAATAAGAGCTCTTGTCATCATCATCCTCCCAAAATGATATTTGTAAGCATATTATTCCATAGAGAGAGATGAATTTTATTGAGTTTTAGACCTAAAGGATCCATTAAAATTTCATGAGATTGGTTGTTACGATGTAAAGTCATTCATGTTAAAAGAAATTTTCACTTAACATGAAATAAAAAATGTTTAAATCATTGTGTACCTCAATTTGCAATTTTTCACACAAGTTTAAGACGACTAAAGTATAAACGGATATAAAATATTTCAAATTTTAGTACAACGCCCAAAATTATTATATACAAAATATTAAAATTTGAATTGGTAGCTGCTATGACAGCGACTTACAAAATAAATATGTAATAAATATTGATCTGGGCGTCGGTTCTGCGACGCACTATGGCTTCCATCAATATCTACCTTTACTATGCAACATATTGGTGTTTGGGTCATTAATTCTCTGACGTTAGGTTATATTGGTTATATTAGCGGAAATGATTGATTGTAAAATTGAGAAATTTGAATGAATAGCTAGGTAAGGATATAAGAATTTAAACGATCGATATCAAAGGACTGAGACATATCGTGATGGCAGGTAAGTGTTATCAAGATAATCTTAGCCCTTATATGGTAGGAGACAAAAAAGGGGGATACAGAAAATTAGAAAATAAATATATTTTGTGGGGATAAAAAATTCGGGTAGACAAATAAGAGGACTATCAAATAATTGAAGGAATGCTGTACATTTAGAACTAAGCAAAAACAGCAAGAACATTGAAATACTTAGCAGCGCAATAATGAACATGTCTGAAGGTCCATTTTTCTGTCCTTGCCATTTTCATTTTTTCACTTAATTTTGCTTTACATTTGAAATTGTTTTAGCATTTTTTGGAAATTAGTCTGATAAATAAAACTGATACAGAAAACTCATTTGTAATCCGGTACCGAAGTTTTACATTTTATAAAATAGCGATAACATTTACCACTATCTCACATGTGTTTGGTTAAAATACTACTAAAAAGCAAAACACAATCATCGATTGTTTTTCTGTGAGTAAGAGTTCAAAAAGCTTTAATTTTCTTTAACAAAAAACTATTTGGAGAAAGGCCAACATTTTGAGACATCTTAATTTTGTGAGAAATTTATTCTTTGTTTCATTATAAAAATAAGGAGATGCGGTATAACTGCCAATGAGAAACTTTCCACCAAAGTTCAAATGACGAAGATGTAGGCAGTTATAGGTCATCGTACGACCATCAACAATTTAAAAAAAAACCCATACAGTATATTCACCTATAAAAGGCCTCGACATGAAAAATGTGAAATTCAAACGAGAAAACTAACGGCCTTATTTATACAATACAATTTACGAAAAATAAACAAATATTACAGACATGAACCAACGTGCCATTTCTCGATTTACTGAGTAAATTAAACACTCTCAATTATTTTCATGATTTGTTTCTTCTTCTGTAAATAGACTGTCCGATACTCAACAATTTGAACTCTAATAGCGATGTGACCACAACGTTGAACAAAGGTGAACTGCGGCTATCCACATACACCAGAACAGTCGGAACTACAGTTAACCTGTCCTGTTTGGACGACTTTACCCTTGTTGGTCAGAGTTCAGTCACGTGTAAGACGGGAGGATGGGATTATACAGACAAACCATATTGTAGTGAGTACATCCGTTGAATAGAATTTAACATTGTTCTTATAAATGTGACAAAATAACAAGAAGTGACAAATTCGATTATTCCTCTAGTTCTTTCATCTTTTAGAAATTGAGAAGAACAGCAAAATATTTTATTTTCCAGACCTATATCATGTATATTGCCTGTTAAATAAAGAAGAAATCATATTGTTTAACCAATGTCCTAGATAAGGGCGAGGGTTGGGCGCCCGCAAATATGTTTAACCACGCCACATTCTGTATATGCCTGTCCCAAGTCAGGAGCCTGTATTTCAGTTGTTGGTGTAAATCATACTTGTTTTTCGTTTATTGTTTTGCACATAAATACTGAATTAAGAAATATTCTGGTTTTCTTTACTTGTATATAATGGAGGGGAAAACCATAGATTATGTCAAACTAAAAACTTTTGAAATATTTTTTTCTTGTTTGAGTTATTTGTTGGTTTGCTGTTTCGTTGACATTTATAAAACATATCAATTTATTCATATTCCAATTATTCAAACACCAATTCAAAGTACAATGTATATCCGAACACAGATGAGGGTCTGGATGGGGTTTAAAGAATAGAGAATAGGAGGCTAATACAACAGAAAAGTGAGCCAAAAAAATAAAGAATAGAGAAAAAAGTCCAAATAAATAAAGAATAGAGAATATTGGGGTGCTAAAATATAAAGATTATAGAATAATAGTCAAAAGATACAAAGAATAGGGAAAAACGACCAAACAATTAAAGAAAATAGAAATGAAGTACCCTCATCCAGGCCCTCATTGTTCAAGCCTTTTTTAATTTCAGAAGCCAACTCAACATCTGATGGGTTATCTACTGGGACAAAGATTTTAATAGGAGCCGTGGTAGGGGGCGTTGCTCTGGTTCTATTCATCATAATCCTGATAGCATGCTGTATGCGAAGGAAATCAAGGAAAGCAAAATCTGATCAGTAGGTTTATATAAGTATTTTGATATAAAAACTCACCAAAGACACCAGGCTTACAATTAGGTACACTTTTTTTGTTTGCTGAAGACTCGTCGGCGTCGCTCGAATCAAAACAGTCAAAAGGCCAAATCAAATACGATGCTGAAGATCTTTGGAAACAAATAATTCGGAAACTTGTGCCAAATACTGTTAAGACTATGTGTGTCTGGGGGGTAGAAAAACCTTGGTGTTTAAAAGGTATAATAAAATATTGCTCCTTTACCGGACAGCAATGTATTAAGACCTGCTTATCGTTAAAACAAATTGCATTAGTTATTACAACGATAAGTTCAACTATTTGTACGGAAGACCGATATATATATATGGACATTCTGTTGTAAAAATCTGGAACTGAGAAATGTCAAGTTGGAACTTGGAAATGTCAAGTTGGAAAAAATATACAGTGTATGTCAAAATGGAAATGAGAAGCTTTAAAAATAGAATGTCCCTAAAAGTCTAAGGCATATTTATTATTAGGCTGAAATATTTTCATCTAAACTGGTATTTCATTTTCAGTTCTTAATGTGTTCGAATATAAGGATAATTCTACTTTTCAAGCCATGGTGCGACTAGAAGCTTGGTACAATGTATATGTCTACTTTTGAATATTGTGTGTTAACCTGTATAAATCTAATTGTTTTTCTAATGTTGTTGTTAGGTGCTGTGTCATTGACATATACCTCACATCACCTTTTTTGTTCATATGAAATACTTAGTATGATCTTCAATTTCATGATTTTTAGATTAGTGCATGTTCATATACATGTTTGCATCGGATTTCTAATTTGTTTTTTACACGTGACATCAGAATAAGAATAAACATAGATCGAGCTAGGATATATGTCAATGAGACAGCAACCCACACAAAATACCAAAGTTTTAGGTGTAATACCACCAATTCATAGTACGTCACTTTCGGTTGTATACGAAAAAGGGTCGAAAAAAATATTCCCTTGAATTTGACAGTTGTAGGACATTAATCCTACATTTCATTACAGTAAAAAAATTATGAGTCATAAACATATGTCTTGGGTGTTTCAAAGCACCATTCTTTTTTTTCTAGAAAATATTTTGGATACTTGAGGTTACATGGTTACTAAAGCTTATAAACAGGAAAGAAAGGGTGGAAATTTGATTGGTTAACTTCCAGTGATGATTTTAATTTATATGCAATGAAATGTTATGTGAAATGTTGTCTATAGTACTGAATAGGATAAAACTTTACTCATGCCAAGTATTTCTTTATTTGAAACAAAGATAAATTCTGCACAATTTTTTGAGAAGTGCATTAACAAAGACTAATAGGGGAAAAACAATGGTGGTATTACACCTCAAAAGAATCATTTAGATTTGATCATTAATATATTCTTGTATTGTGGATAAAAAAGATCACTTTCATAAGTTCAAAAATCACATCAAAGAGAATTTCTTAATTTTGTACGCTATACGTGCGTTTTGTCTACATTAGACTCACCAGTTACGATCGAATCAAAACAGTTGTAAGGCCAAATCAGAAACGAGGTTGAAGAGTATAAGACTAAGGCAATCTATCCACAAAGATAGAAAAACCTCAGTGTTCCTAATAATTCAACATTTATAAACAGTAAATTTACAAAAAAAAAACCTATCTACATGACAACACAAAAGTTTAAACCACTTACATTATACTTAGGGTTAGGAGACGTTTCATTCTCCAAAGATTCAGTAGTTCGGATGGGTAAAAGGTACCTGACGTGTATACCCTTTTTATTGATTAAAGTTGATAATCATGATGCATATATTTCCTCTAATATTGGACACAATACAGTGCTTCACCTAATATTGCTATTTGAAAATCATTTACAGAAAGAATACGGTAATTTATTTTCAGAGAGAAATTTTACAATCACTTGCAAGAGGAAAATACTCCGAAAGGACAGTAAGTTACTCTTTTAAACATTAATATTTACATAGATAATATCAAGTGACAACTTTTTTCAATGAGAACGATTATTCAATGACAAAGTTTTAAACGTAAAATCTTATTCCTTGCGTGCATTTCTTACTAACCAAAATTTTGTAAACGTTGTGTGGCGTTTGTTGTTGTTTTCTAAACGCTACAAAAGTAGAAACAAATACATCGTTAAATCAGTCTTTACTGACCCTGTTTGAACTTCCAATAATGCATGCACATGTTGTTGGTAAACAGACTTTTTGCAAACGTAGAAACAAATACATCGTTTAATCAGGTTCAAGTTAGAAACAAATGTAGCGTTTGTACTAACAAACGATGAACGACAAACTGTAGACGCATTTTTAGCGAGTGCATAGTTTGTCAAAGTTTATGTACATAGTTTGCAAACGTATGTTAGAAACAAATGATCAAAACATGTGCGCGCTTAGCCGTTTGCATCGTTTGTGTTAGAAAGAAATGCACTCTTTATCACCCGCGGTTTTTGCTTGGGTTGTGTTGCTCAGTCTTTGTGTTTTGTGTACTATTGTTTGTCTTTTCGTCGTTTGTCGTTTGCCATGGCATTGTCAATTGTTTGTTTTAATTCGACTTATGTGTTTGAATGTCCCTTTGGTATCTTTTGCCTCTCTTCTTTATCATTTATAATTATTTGTTTTATTTTATTGGCAAAGTGTTAGTTATCATTTAATCGAAATGCTTGTAATATTGTGTAGATACTGAAAAATAACATTTCAATGTATTGACTAATAATTTCATAACATTACGCGAAGAATACTTTTAAAGATATAAAAATGAACTTATGAACTTGTAGGGATTCGGGTTTGGTAATATGTATACATTTGTAGCTTCTATATCACAATGCTATTTTTTACTGGGTGAACGGCTACCTGTTTACTTATGACCTCGGTTGACAATGTTTTCGCGGTAATCAAAATCTGGCATTTTAACGTGAAGTATAATAATATATATTTTTTACACTTCAGAAACCCAGGAGAAATGATTGGTGAAACACAATATAAACCTCCGTCCTATGCTGCTGCATGGCCCGCAATGACTCATTCTTTTATGATTGGAAAAAGAGAGTTCCCATTCAGAAATCCGGATTCTGATGCGGGCATCCATGCTGGTAAATCAATTTGGGATGGCAATGATTATTTCATCGGAAAACCAGAAATAGATTCCGAAAATAAAACGGAATCCAAAACGGAGAATCTTTCGTCTACTAAAACGTCTGAAGGGCAATACAGCATCGGGAATACTGCTCCTTTTCAGAGTGAAAGAAGACAAAACCCGGTTGAATATCGTCAAAGGTCGATATCTAGTGATGTTGATAATAGCTATTCACAATTTGTTCATCCAATTTCAAACAGATACTCATTTCAAAGAGAAATTTCAGACAGAGTAAAAAATGATTCCGACTCAGATGATCGTCGTACTTTTTCAGCAACAAACATGGGCCGAAATGGATGGGACGATCGAAAGGTCATTTCGACACAAGCCTTAAGACGGGGAAACAATATTGACGATGACGTGCGCATTCCGTCCAGATATTTGAAATCAAGATCAATTGACGATCAAACGGAAGAAAAACGAAGATACAGCGACGACTCCGTTCAGCAGAGAAACACCAGACCATTCGTCTATGAAGTTTCATCAGATAAATCGGTACTTCTGAAATCGTCACAAAATGGTTCGGAAAAACCGAATGATTCGAAGAATCAAGCAAACGAGAAACCGAAAGGCGTGTAAGTTATGTACATGTATGTTATACGGAGGAGATAAGACACACAGGAGAGGGGAACGATACCAAAAGTGACATTCAATCTAATAAGTCGAAACATATTGACAATGTCATGACAAAAAACGAAAAACAAACAAAAGACAAACAACAGTACAAATAAACAACATAGACTGAAACTAAAGACGGAGCAACACGAACCGAGAGAGTATTTAAAAACATAAGTCGAGGAAACAAAAACAAAACCATGATTAAAAGAAAAATAACGAACCTAGATCATAAATTAGAGTATAGGCCAGTCTTGAAAGTAGTAAAGTTAGCTTCGTTTCTGTTACATTTTTATTCCGATGTTGGCAAATATATTCTCTTTTTTCATATCAAAACTTATTCAAAATATGCCTAATGGACTTGAAAAGTGGGTTTGGGGGGGGGGGGGGGGGGGGTGTCTTCATATCTGTATTCCTTAATTTTAATGACATTTTCTCTATTCATTATATTTTTTCCCCATCATTCTGTGGTCAATATTTTATCAACCATTTATTCTCCTTTTTTTATATTATGGCTCGTCTTTTCTATTCTTGTTTATATCGGGCCAATTATTCATCATTCCGTAAAATCCCATCATTACCCGATTGTCCTCTGACGATAAGTTTTAATTTGAGAGAGAAAAAAATACAACAGAAGAGATTGGGACGAACAGTTTCGTTATCGTTTGTAACATCGAAGATGACATCTGTCCATTGTTCTCCCTCACCGCACATAAAAAAGTATAGCATTTAAAGACAGGAGTAGAGACTATCTACAGATCTAACATCGGAAGTTGCAGGGCATTATTAAAGAAATTGACTTGACACTAGGCATGCAAACACACATTTTAGATTCTTTTAAATATCGTTTTTATAAAGGAAAAGCTATAATAATGATTGTTTCCTTTTCAGTTACCAGGGTAACTGGCCCATGCGAGACGATTTAAAAAGTTTAACAGAATTCAACAAGTAAGTTATTAGTTATTTTTTAAAGTATCTTTTGATATAACTTCACCTAAAGTTTAATTGAAGACAATGTTGTTTTCATTAGCCTCGATTTCAACGTACTATCTAACTCGTGAAAGACACAAGGCATGTTTTTATATGGTGATGGTACATTAAAAAAAATGTTTTAACTGGATCATACGTGTGTTGCTTATGGAGCAGGATCTGCTTACCCTTCCAAAACACATGAAATTACCCCAATGTTTTGTTTGGAAATAAACTCATCATACATACCAGGGTTAAAATTTTGTACGACAGGTTTTGGTTGGGTTCGTGTAGCTAAGTATTTAGTTTTCTATGTTGTGTTTTATAAACTGTTGTTTTTCTTGTGGTCGTTTTTTGTTTTTTGCCACGGCGCTGTCAGCTTAATTGTCATCGACTGATCAGTTTTGATATTCTTTTGGTATCTTATGCCTCTCTTTTAAAACTGATGAATTTTGGTAAAAGTTTAAATAATGCATTTCTTTTTACAGAAGAGCTCTTCTTCACAATAGAGACCCGTTTCTGTGGAGACCTGTGTAAGTATTTTATTCAAAAAGAAAGTGACTATTATAACGTAGTTCGTTTTATTCTCTATAAATCTGATGATGCCATTTTCATACAAGCATCGTTTGAATAACATGGCTAGCTACATCCGTTTGTTCGATGTCATAAAAATAAAAAAAAAAATAGCACGCAAACATTGAGATTTCGTCCAGCGCGGGACGTTTGCGCTTTTTGATAGAACATTTGCGCTTTTTACATATGACATTTGAGATTTATAAACATAATATTTGAGTTATCATGGTTTAATTTAAAGCTAGAAAATCACATAATATCAAAACCCCAACGCATTCATATATATATATATATATATTTATTGACACCGAAGAAGGCTATTTGTTAAGCCGAAATATTTGTCAACACGATTTAATAACAACATCTTCGTATAATACCATCTTATATTAGTATCTTTGTGCAAATCTCTAGACTTATATAATTTTTTCCTTATCTGCACAGTATCGTCTATTCTAGACGATCCGGTACATAGTAAATTTGCTGGTTGGTCCTTTTTATAGACTTCTATATTATTTTTCCTCTGAATGACCTGTATTATGTTATTCACATAATCCCAGTGAATTTAAGTTTTCAGCTCTCATATCATGAACATCAATGATTATTTTAAACAACTTAGAGCTATTTAACAAAAACAAATTGGAACTGAACACTACTTATCTAATTTAACCCATTATGTGTATAATGAAAGTATTCCTAACGGACTACAAATCAAGCCCATGCCACAAACACCTGGCAATTTATCCAACACATTACGAAGCTATTTTTATACATATAATCAGTATTGTTAAAATTATTGACACCGAAGAAGGCTATTTGTTAAGCCGGAATATTTGTCAACACGATTTAATAACAACATCTTCGTATAATACCATCTTATATTAGTATCGTTGTGCAAATCTCTAGACTTATATAATTTTTTTCTTATCTGCACAGTATCGTCTATTCTAGACGATCCGGTACATAGTAAATTTGCTGGTTTGTCCTTTTTATAAAATTCTATATATATATTTATATACAGCATATTTAAAAGACTTAATCTTCCGCCATCATTCTTCGGTCAGATGACAAACATTTCAAGAGGATACATCGATAGAAGTAAATTTCATTTAAAAACCATGGCTCTATCATCAAAGCCAACAAAAACAACAGGTGGTTAAAAAAATCGAATTTCGGTCTTCATAAATTGAAACAAGCTGAGAGGCGCAGTTCCTCAGACTTTCAATGCAATATAATGGACACAAGAGGGATATAGTTTCCATTTTTTTTAAATCCTCATATTGTATGAAGCTGCTTGAAAAAATTTAGGGCATAATTTGAATTTGAATTTCGGATTTCATCCATCGATTTCTCAATTGTTAACATGAATATTTTTTTTTATCGTTTACCTGAATGATTTTGTTTTTGATTTTGTGGTTTATACAAAATTGTTTTTTTTTATTTTGATAAAATTGGTTAAGATTACAGGTAAACAAACATAGGTAAAAAGCGCAAAAATGTCCGGTCATTTTAGTTCAGGTGTATCAAAGTTTAAAGCGCAAATGCCCATAGTGTTTTGAGCACAAATGTCGTGATACAGGTAAAAAAGCGCAAATGTCCTGCGCCTTACTATTTATATTATCGTTTGTGAACTATTTAAAAACTACTATTAATGAAACAGGCGCAGGATATTTGCTCATTTAAACCGAAATAGTAATATACAATTGAGTATTTTTGAAAGCCATTTCCTTTTTTACAAAAACCAAATTGAATCTGATTTAATTAAAGATACTACATAAACAGATGCCGATTTCAAAAAGTTATTTTTTCTCCATACGGTCATGAGACTCAAAATGCTTTTTGCCAAAAAATTCCAACGTTATAAATGTACAATTAAGAATTTTGCCAACTAATTAACTTTTACGCTTAGTACAGAAATAAATCTGATTTTCTGAATAATACAACATAAATAGATTTGTGCTGCAAAAACGTGTACTTCATACAGTTTTGAGACAAAAAATATGGGGTTTTTTTTCTAAAATATTCTAGCTGCTACATGTCCAAATAAAAAAACAAAGCTTCTCTTAACTCTATTCCAAGCACGAACATGTAGAGATTTGGGACGGGTTTTCATCGATAAAATTATTAGCATTCAACATTTCAAAAAAAGCTGTAGTTACCTTTAAACGGCAACCAATATTTGTCAGTTTATGCTCGACTTCAAATATTTTAACTAAAACATTGTAATACTACTAATAACTTTGTATATTTTATACATACGTAAATCTATCATATCTCTCTTTTTTTCAGTGATAACAACTTTGGATTTGATGCCGTTTTTAATTCAAAATTCTAACGCATTTGATTTTCTACATACAGTTTAATGTCATATCAGACTGAATTCACTGAGTTTTAAAGATGTGCATGGTGTTATTCCTCAGAAAGTAGACACATACAGGTCACACTTATATGTAAAGCTTGGTATCTATCTATACCGTCCATTGAAAAGTCATCAAAGATATCAGGCTTCCTTAACATTGAAGTGAAAAATACTCAATATCATATTTGTGTAACGTCATATTCCTTGGTATCACAGATACAATGTATTGGTTTATAAGTTTTTTTATCATGTAATAAAATATTTATATTTTTGATTGAATTTATTTGTAAAACTGTGCATGATACATGTCACCATGTTTAACTTAGGTGTATCTATTTGCATGATCTTTTATGGACTATTCTCTTGTTTATCAGAAAAATATGTCCGACGTTCATATCGTTGAAAATAGGTTTAAGTGGTTCTTTGCTGTTTTTGCATCAGTCTTCTATTTTTGTTTAAATCAAAATTAGAAAATTTCTGTTGTCACTGTTATTTGACTGTGTCTTTTATTTGTTTGATTCTCTAAATATTGTATTTGAAGTCCAATAGAACTGATAAAAGCCATATTCAATCCGATTAAAATACGGATCCTGTGTCAAGGATCTAACAACACCCCGAAGTATCAGCCAATGCAATTTCAGCCTTCAAATTTTTGAAAGTGTGTATTATTCCGACTAAAGGATGATCCCGAAAGGTCTTTACAAATGAAAGTAGAAAGGATCGTTTTCATATCCTATAAGCAAACTTGGGCACAAGATTTTAATCAGATTGTAACATATTTTGATTATCATGGGTAAATACGTTTTAACTTTGTTAAACCACCACTCGGTCAATATCATTCATGGTTGAAACCTAGTCTTCGAAGGTATCATCAACCGATAGTTCATGTTTCAGCGTTAGTTTTATATTCATTACGATCAGTTTAATAAAATATCTGCCAATAAATTATGTATTTACAAAAACTGAAATTGGATCATACTCAAGTCAAAGTTGACCCGAGGATGTTGTTCTATATGTTTTATATCTCTTTTTACGCAAAAAAAATGAATATGTGGTGAACGGCGACGGGCCAACAGGTTTTTTTTATCGCGAAAGAAATTAAATTCAATGGATCTGCCATTATCATGCGTATAAACAAATACATCACAGATACCAGGCTTAAAATTTTGTAAGCAAGACGCACATTTCGTCTTCAAAAGACTCGTCATTGACGCTCGAATAAAAAAAGTTTAAAGGCTAAATAAAGAACGAAGTTATAGAGTATTGAGAACCAAAAATTCCGAAAGGTTTTGCCAAACACAGCAAAGACAATCTATGTCTGGGGTAGGAAATCTTTAATATTTCGAACAATACAAAGTTTTGTAAACAGCTAACATTTGTAATCAGTTACCGTTGCTTTAAGCAAACACGTGATGGGAGAGCTACAGACCCTGACCACCATTCTTTTTTTATTAGAAAAGAAGGCAGAGCAATTTTTCCAATAGTCTAGGCAAAAATCCCAACATATTTTTAAAATAAACAAAAATATGCTCTTTTGCCAAATTGCAAAGTTTGAACTATATGAAGGAAGACGTGTGGAATTACACATGCAACTCTATGACAACGATAAAAATGACAACGTTCCACACATAGGAAACCTGGAAGAAATATATCAAATCTAGTCGAAATAGGAGATGCACATCTTCAATCTGTGCGTTACCTTTACAAAGTTGGAATATATTTTAATAAAAAGTGTTGGAGTTTCATTTAACACATACATGTGCCAGGAATTCTTTATCTGTTACGGACGAGCTCTTACCAGATCTTTGCTCGCGGAGCAGATAAACAAACTTATAACAAATCAGAACTGGATAATGCATAGCTTTATAATAACCAGTATAGCAGATAAAAAATAGTTCTAGCGAACCAACGATGTTTAGTTATATAACGCCTGATTTATCCACCCATCTTTACTTGCCTAATCTTCATTTTCTTACCTTGAAATAAAAGTCAAGGTGTTCATCAAACACACATAAAACGGCAAGTTATTGTTTTGTTCCGCTTTTCAAAGCTCAAATAATCGACTGAATTAACTGTTATCTAGGATAAAAGATATCGTTCATTTACATTCAATAACTCTCAAAAGCATCGACATTTCTTCTTGTTCGTGTTTAAGGGGGAGGGGGGTATTACTAAATCACATTATTTGATTCTAGTTTTCTTGAAAAAAAAAAAATTTCAGAGGGGAATTGAAAAAAAAACTGTTTGCTTCCATTGAAAATTAGAAGAACATTTTGTTCTTTATTGAAGGTATAGGAAATGCAGATATGGATCGATAAAGCAGGAGTTGTATAAATGATAGGACATCGTTGATAATTGTTTGCTGGAACTTTTGTTTTCTTTTATACAAGGATTAATCTGGTAAGTGCTCGTGAGTTTCAAAAATGCCTTTCTCTTGTATGTTAATAAGAAATCGCTTGTTGTTTTAATTTTATTACAGTCGAAAAACATTATTCATCGAGAGAAAATATAAACATGCCCCTCAACAAGCGAGGAATGGTAAAATCCTTATCCAAATGAATAAAGAACCGTTATGTATTCATTGCAACGTTCATTAATAATTTCAGAAATGATTCCAGAAATTAATAGATATTTTCCCCTGTCTTTGATAATAACCTATGTGTTTTTACATGATCAAAAATTATATATCGAAATAGAACGGGAAAACGCTAATTATAATACTTGTAGAAAAGAAAGAAAAAAAGTTCCAGCAAACAATTATCAACGATGTCCTATTAGTTATACAACTCCTACTTTATGGATCCATCTCTGCATTTCCTGAACCTTTATGATGGAGGGAAATTCAAAAGTGCAAAAATTGTGGAATAAGGAAAGTGAAAAAGAACTATTTGCTTTCATTAAAATTTAGCAAAAAAAAAATCATTTCTTCATTGATTGAAAAAACAAATCTTGCTCCTGTATGATTTTAAAATTTTGGTTGTTTATAATATAGTCGAAACACATTGTTTTTACCGAGAAAAAAAGTACCCCCACAAGACAAGAATGGAAAGTGCATAATCAAAATGAATGAAAAACCAGTACATATTCATTGCATCTTTTTTTATAATTTAAAAAAAAATACTTCCTTATAATAACCTTGTTATTAGTATTTCCCCCAGTATTTGATAACGAGCTTACATTATTTTAATGAATATGTCTTTTTATATGCTCAAATAAGCATAAATCAATAATAAAATGTTTACAGGTAACTGAATATAATAATGATAAATAAGGTTGAATCTTAACCGACTTGATTTTAACTTTGAACACGCGATCAATCATTTTTACTGCTGAGATTTAAACTGGTCACGTTTCATTGATGACAGAAAATTGCAGTTTTTCACATGATTATAAAATATTTTGTCATCATGACTTTAATATTACAAAACCTGTATTAAACATTTGAAATGATATAGATTTGGGCTTGGTAATATATGCAGAAAAGGGTGGTTCCAATAAGTTGTTATTTCATAAGTAAGTAAGAAAATTGACTATGCATATAAAAATAAAGATATGGTTTAAACAATACTGGGACGATAATAACGAAATTCATTCTGACATTTGGGTTGGCCCTGGTTAAAATCTATATAAAATATAGGGTGTGTACGTCGCGGTGTCTATGTTTATTGATAAAACTTATGTTTTTGTGTTTATTTAGTACCGCCAACTATATGGCTATGATGAAAAGTTATATATTAGAAAACCACTGGTTAGATCATAATTGTATGCATGCATTTAAGAAAGAAGACAAAACAATGATTTTAATTTATGTTATAAAAGAGGGACGAAAGATACCAGAAGCACATTCAAACTCAAAAAAGAAAACGATAAACAGACAAACAATAGTACACAAAACACAACGTTTATAAGCGTTTATAAAATGCAGTATATTTTAAATTCTGTTAAGCTCGACGTTATAAATCTTTTTGGTTTTTTTCCGTTAAAAAAGTATTAGACTATCTATTAAAATTCAATGTTTAATTTACTAAAACTGCAAAGTACAGAGTAGACATGTACTTTTCAGTCTGCAATATTTATTTTTTTTTTTTTCAAATTTCAAATATCAAACTAAGGAAATTTTATTCTGACTTGTAAGGAAGTTGAAGAAAATGTCGACAATACAGATAAAAAGTAAGCAAAACAATTAAATGGTTTTTGTTGGTTCGTTGTCTTTCTTTTGACAAAATGGGTTGTAGTTTATGCCATTTATCCAATGTATTTTTTTTTTTAATTTAAAAAAGGGTGATTACTCACAAGTGCCTTTTTTCTTTTTAACATGTTTACGCTAAATGTATATAAAATTGCCTAAAGGAAATAAAAAAAAAATAGTTTCCCCGAAATAGTTTGGGGAAAATCATTTTTGCTTGAAGGAAAAGTAATAAATACATGTGACATCACTAATCTTTTGTTCATAAATTATATTGTTAACTCCAGCAGTGACATGTGAAAATTTTTTTAAAACATTCTTCATGTACAGCAATGTTGAAAGTAATCGACCGAAGATAAAACATATGGCAATATGACATTTTAAAGAAACATTTTATATAGAAGGTACATTTGTTTTCTTTTTATTCCAGCTAAATGACAGAAATTTGTAGATTACAGTTATAAATGAAAATGTAAGCTTTAAGTATGGGTAGTTATAACATAATTTTAGACACATATTATAAAAATTCAAGAATATTTTGGCTAAAATTTACACATACGTCGACCAAACATTTCAGTGCCAGCTATCAGTCTTATTTAAAGTGTGTACATAAATAACAAGATGTATATGATATTTATAATTCTTTTTGAACATTTTATAATGCCTACTGACATTCCGTATTTAAAATCGATAAACAATTACTTATTACTAAATATTATCATGACGACCGCGCCACCTAAGGAGAAGCACCAGTTACTGTTTACCCTAGATATCGGAGTAAATCCACAGAACCGTGTGGAGGCTGTTCTTATCATATAACACTTCCATTTTCTTATTTAAGAGTGAACGCTTCTTTTAGTAATTTTATTGAGGTGTAAAAAAGTATTGACCGGAGCACATTTAATATGAAGCGGGCTCTCATACTAATCATGTGCACACGGTCAATGATTTTACATCCCTATAACATTTTACAGTAAATACATTCAATTCGTATGATTTATTTGTTTTGCTATAGTCGTTGAATGACGAGTAAGAAGAAGCTTTTCTTGTGTTTCCCTCTGCACTGTTGTACTGTTGTCATGGGAG